AGATAAGATGGGGATAGGATTGGGGCATAGAAAACAGATCCCTAAAGAGATGACAGACCTTGTCCTTTTACCCGCATGTACAGTCCCATGGAAGTATAGAGTTACAGAGAGGAGGAATACAGACCCCTCTCCCCTAATTAGGCTATGTAGTTGTCTTTTCCACTGTTGGAAGTTCCAACAGTTCTACCTTGAAATAGGTTAAGTCTTTGGAAAAAGTCATTCTAGGTTGTACAGAGGTTCTACATATAAGCCTGTTATAAGTAACAAAGCTACTTTGCAAGACCCGCTTCTTTCCAACATTAAAAAAAAAAGTGCCGGGCACAGTGGTGCATGGTTGTAATCCCAGCACTTTGGGAAGCCAAGGCAGGTGGATCACGAGGTCAGGAGTTCAAGACCAGCCTGGCCAACTTAATGAAACCCCCATCTCTACTCAAAACACAAAAATTAGCCGGGCACAGTACCATGTGCATATAATAATCCCAGTTATTCAAAAGCTGAGGAAGGAGAATGTCTTGAACCGGAGAGGCGGAGGTTGTGGAGAGCTGAGATCACTCCACTGCATTCCAGCCTGGGTGATGGAGCGAAACTCCGCCTCAAAAAACAAAAAACCAAAAAGTCTATTTGTTTTGGTAAGAATTTTTTTTTTTTTTTAATTTTTTGCAAAGCAGCATAGCAACAATAGTGATTGTAGGACTTGCCTGAGGTTGTGGTCACAACCATGGTAAACGTCATTTGCATATCAGTAAGAAAAAGAAAACAGGAGATTAGGTCTCACGAAACAAAGCAGATTCTAGAGATTTCACTGTCTGCCCTTCTCCTTCCACGCACGTTCTCCTTTAGCTTAGCTGACCGCAATGTTGTTTTCCTCTAGGAAGTGAGGAAACTGGTGTTTGGGAACGCCGTCAGTAGCACCTGGTTTTTCCACGTCTGCACTGATACCTGATTGGGAGCCATCCCTCTTGGAGACAGTGGCATTATTCACCACGGAGCTGGCCCCCAAGGACACCGGGAGGGTAGGAACGCCCCCGCTCTGGATCACAGAGATCTCATTGGTCTTCACGGCCAGACCGCCGTTGAGCATGCTGGTGTACTGGTTCCACACAACAGGGTCCACGTTCACGGAAGGGGCCAGGATTTCCTTGGGAAACATTTCCGAGACTCTTTTTCCGTCCGTACCTAACAGAGCCATGGTGTTCTCGATGGCCAGCTTCCTTCCACGGCGGGCCGAGTTATTGTTTGCTCCGTGTGTCATGTAGTGAACCTACCGGAACAGGAGAGAAAGGTGTTTGTCAAAACAGAGATTTGCTAGCTCACTGGCAATCCAAAAATCAGTGTGCATATGGATTTCATTCTACCCAGGGTTTTAACATATAGATGATCCTATGGCCAGGCACGGTGGCTCACGCCTATAATCCCAGCACTTTGGGAGGCCGGTTTGGGTGGGTCACGAGGTCAGAAGTTCGAGACCAGCCTGACCAACATGATGAAACCCTGTCTCTCAAAAAAACAAAAAAAATGCCAGGCGCGGTGGCTCAAGCCTGTAATCCCAGCACTTTGGGAGGCCGAGGCGGGTGGATCACGAGGTCAAGAGATCGAGACCATCCTGGTCAACATGGTGAAACCCCGTCTCTACTAAAAATACAAAAAATTAGCTGGGCATGGTGGTGCATGCCTGTAATCCCAGCTACTCAGGA